GCCAGTGAAAGATGATGAACCCTAAAAGTGCGGCGATGATGAAGAATATAGCAAATAGGTAAACCCATATCAAGAAAGTGTTTTGATAGCACGCACCAGTGAAACCGGCTAAAGAAACGACCATGATTGAGATCCCATTTACTGTCAATGGCCACTGTAAGAATTTCAAACAACTTGTGTTGTTGGCTCTACTGCCTAGCCATATACCACCTCCTGGGATGGGTATTGAGTACCCCTATCAAGTGATTGCTAGTTCTTATGATTAATCTTTCTCTGTTTCTCTCTTCCTATCTACAATAAGCGCTTCAGATCCCTCTCTGCTCTGTCTCTCTTTCTTTCTTTACTATTGTGATGGCCAGTTACAACTTACAAGTGAAGAGAGCATTGATAGCAACAAAGGTAAATGCATAACGCGGGCAGGTGGTGATATTTTGCTTTTTTTGAAGGGATGGCTAAAAAATAATTAAATATCCTGTATTTGTACGGATTGACCCGGGTTTACCCACATAATCCGGGACCCGGTCTCTTAACTTGGTCAACTTGCAGGTTAGATTTTATAACTATGTAATAAAGTATAAATTTATAATATTATCTAAATATGAAAACACACAAAAAAAAAATCATATTGCTAAAAATTGCTTGTATATAAGAAAGAAAATTGTATTGTTAATGTATTTTTTTTTAATTTGAAAGAAATTGAAAAACTTGTGAAGAAAAACAGTAAAAAAAAACTCTATAATATGTATTCTAAACTCCATATAAATTTGAAAAATTATAAAGCTAGTTTTTATATTTTACTCAAAATAATATATAATATTAAAGTTTTTATATAAAGTTTTGAAAAAAAATTTAAAAAAGTATTAGGTTGAAATAAAATCCTTAAATTTATTAAAAATTAAATTAAATTATTTAAACTCAAGGATATTAGACTCAGCCATATTAACTCGAGCAAACATATTGAGATTCGATTTCTCCGGGTTGCATTAAGATTCAAGATAAGAAATTTGATGAATATTAAATATCTCGATATAATAATTCTTCATTTGTATTTTTCTATGGATAGGATTGATGCTAAAGGAGAGTAGATAATAGTTTGAAGGATTTAAATTTTCTTGACAGTAAGAATATTCTTCAACCATTTTACATGTTAATCAATATTAAATATCTTGTGATGATTTTAAAAGCGTATATTCTTCGTCGATCTGGTGCATTAAAAAACAATTAATAATTTTTTTTAATCCTGACCCAAGATTTGAATTCATGAAGTCAAGAAAAGATGCAAACTTTCTTAACTATCAAACTAATTCCTTACAATTAATTACTCAGATTTTTGGCTTTTTGTTTAGAGTAAACTAAGTGCCATGGTTCAGTGCGAAGCAGACTCACAGATATTAGCTAATTTTTTAGTATTTTTGTACATTACAAATATTCTTCTACTTCAATAATAGCAAAACTTATAATTGTTTACCAAAGATATTTTTTCACCAATTTTAAAATAGTAAAGATATTTCATTATTCCAAAATCATAAAATATTTAGTTATTGACTACTAGTTTTTTTTGTTTTTCCCTTGTTAGACTATTGTTAAAATATGTTTTTTGCTCTTAGAAAAGACAAAAAATAAATTATATATTTAATGGTGTTTTAATTTTTTTCATGTTGGTTTATTTGTTATTTTCAAGATAATAAAAAATGTTTTAGTAATTTTATATTGCTTTTAAAATTTTTTAATCAAGAAAGTTGTCATATATTGTTTTTTTAAATTCAGTCCTTTTTTTTTTTAGTTTTGGCTCTTTTATCAACATTTTATTGATTTTTAATTTTATTATTCAATAAAATTTATATTAATTTTTTTTTTAATTTAGCCCTTATTCTTTTTATTCTCTTCTCCTTTATTAAAGTTTTTCTCTTTACAATTTAACCATCCAATTAAAACAAAATTGGATGCCCTCAAATTCATTTTTATTTTAATTTTAAAAATCAACTCATATTTAATAAGTCGGGTAAAGTTACTAATCTCATATTATAAATGCTGTGAAATTTAAATTGCAGTACTGGAGTAGAATGAACCCACTAATTTATAGTTGGATCTATACTTGCCATGTTCTTTGAAAAGAAACAATTATTAATTGAAATGATGGTTTATTCATCATTGAAAACACCCAAATAAATAATATCAAATTGGCTACAGGTCATTATTGAGAGGCTGAAAAAAATCCTCTTATCTCACATGACAGTTCACGACATCATCGAAAGATAAGATTTCATCATCGAAGGGCAATATTAATTGAAAAATTAGTTTACTGACCATGGAAAACACCCAAATAAATGATATTAAACTAGGTCCAAGTCATTGAGACTTGAGAGGCTGAGACAATCCTCTTATTTGCCAGGATAGTTCAAAACATCATCAAAGGGCAATAGACTGCCTTATTCAATCCAACAAGTAGATGAATTCACGCTCAGAGCAGCTAATTTTCAACCCATGGAAAAGCCATTCACTGACATCCCTCCATCAATGCATATAACTTGTCCTGTTAAGAAACCTGGTGCAGGCAAGCATAGAAATGCGACAACAGAAGAGACCTCCCCTGGTTCCCCAACGCGTCTCATGGGGGTTCGATTGAAAACCTCCTTCAGAATGTTCTCATCATCCAGACTCTGAATGGTTAAGGAAAAGCATTAGATAACTCATGATCACAGAAAAACTAGCTTGATAATGACAAATGTGTTGCAGATGTTAATTAATCTAATTCACCTAGCTCCTAAGACTAATTATTGCAGAACTGAAGCAATAAAAATGTTCGATAAGATAATCATATTGCAGAACTGAGCGTCTCGCGTTAGTTCAGAACAATCCACCTATGTTGTTGCACTTGTGCAATGAGAATTGAATGGGAAAAACATGTAGAAAGGACATCAAACATTAATTAGAGAACTCGTGAGTTTGTAGAATGTTGTACAGGTGTTGTGAGAGGAGTTCGTATGAACCAGGGAGCAACTGCGTTAACCCTTATATTGTCCTTAGCCCATTCGCACGCCAAATTCCTTGTAAGTTGGTTCATTGCACCTGCAGTATACATGTCATGACAGGTCCTAAGAGAACAAGCTTTTGCAAAAGAAACAGAAGGAAAATTAAAATGAGAAAACAGTTCTAGAGAAGTAGTTCAAGTACCTTTAGAAGCTGAATACAAAGCATACAGAGTGTTTATAGATACCACGCTAGCAATGGAAGACATGAAGACAATCTTTCCAGCTCTTGAAGCTTTCAAAAGGGGATGTGCAAGTTGGGACAAATGGAAAGCAGATTGAAGGTTTGTATTCATGAGAGATGTGAAATCCTCAGCTGTGTAATCTAAGGTCGCTTTATATATGTTTGTCCCAGCATTGTTTACCTGGAGATTTGGAAGAGTTTAAAAGGCTATTGATTAAAAGTAATAGAACACTACTTATTTGTGCAAAATCAAGTTAAATGCATTTATGTTACAGAAATTTAAAAATTTAAAAAACAAAAAAAAATCTCATTAAATAAAAATTACAACAACAAAAAGATGAATACAATATCATTTATTAAACATTCTAGATCTCTGTTTTATGTTTGTAAATATAACTATAAAATAAAAAACAAACATAATTATAAAATAAAAAACAACAAAAGCAAGCAAAAAAAACCTACTTTTGACTATTTTTGGATAGATAATCTATACCTTAAACAACTATTTTTTAGTGGCTTTCTTTAAAAAATTTTGCCTCTCACAAACATTTACACATCTTTTTCAGTTTAATCTTTAATTTTAGATTGTTTCAATCAAGTTCTTAATTGCTCATCAAACTTTAATATTTATGCAATTAAGTTTCTGATTTAATTAAATTAACTTTTAAAAATTTTAATTCAACCTTTAGACTTTAATTTTTTCTAATCAAAGCTTAAATTAACTTTAAAAATTAATTTTTCTTGCAATTAAACTCTTAATAAAATCAATTAATCCTTGAAAATTTTCAATTGAGTTCTAAAACATCAAATTTTAAATTTTTCTCTTTAAATTGGATTTTTTTTGCTAATAAAACCTTAATCAGTCAAGGATACATTATTAAAAATTTTAAATTGTGTATATTTTGATTTTCTTCGATCAGTTTTTAACAATTTCCTAGTTATTTTGTTATATTCTTTATTGTTCTAGAATAAATAACAACAAAAATAATAATAGTAACTGTTATCATTTTCACTGTCCTCGAAACTTTCTTAGGATCACTGAAGCAATTATCAGTCGTTGTAGTCTTCGAGTCTTTTCCCATCCAAAGACAATGCCTAATGTCTTGCACCAAAGGCACTGTAGAGGTACCCTCTTAATACTACCAAGCCCTTCTTCAAGTACTGTGAAAGTGTAAATAAGAAAGACTCAGAGTGAAATTTCACTTACAAGGATATTAAGCTTCCCATCAAACAGAGAGGAAACCTCCTTCATCAGCTTCTCTCTTTCAGCATTAGAGGATACATCACAGACTGAACCAGTAACTTTGAAACCCTTCTCCTTCCATTCCCTAACGCGTTCATTGAGCTGGTCTTGGTTCCTCGCACATGTATGAACAATTGCCCCTAGCGCTGCTAACTCTTCAACAATAGCACAACTGATCAAAATGCATCAGCAAACAGTCTTTGGCATTAAAGACTTTAATTCTTGATGCAGCGTGCATTGAAAGATAAAAAACTACGGTTTTTCGAGCTCTAAACTATTATTTGAATTTCGGATAGTGTTGGTCTCTTCGTAGCCAACGGTAAACAATCAACATGTCCAAAATCTTAACCAATCAGCAAGATGCAAATATAATTCTTAAGCTACCAATTTTATCTCTAACAAAACATTTATAAGGAAATTGGAGGGAGATACTAACGGATCGACAAGCATTTTATAAAATAAGGGACCAGAATATCGTTAAATCTAGATCTCAAAAAGGAAAAGAATGAAGAAGAAAAAACTAAAGATAGAGAGAGTTAAGGTTTTAGTCTATTTCCGAACTTATTTGCAAACGTAAGAAATTTGGTTACCTTAATGTAGAGAAACAACGTAAAGATTTATGAACAGTGTGTCATCTTCCAATAAAATTAACAGGTTTAGGGTTATGCATGAAATTAAGACAGTGGAACTAAAATAAACACCAGGCAAGGTGAAGGTAGAGAGCTAGGGTTAAAAATGAATAGGAGCTGGAGCTACTGTTCAGAAGGGGGGAAAGGGAGTTCAGTTGATAGCCGCTCAAAATAAAAATTTTCTGAGATTATAATTATAATTATCTTTGTTTTTTAATGTGTATTTTTTTATTTAATAATGTATTAAAATAATTTTTTTAATTTAAAAAAAATAATTTTTAGTATTTACATATTATGATGTGAAAATATTAAAAAATATTAATTTAAAATAATAATAAAATTTAATCTTTTTAAATATAAATTAATATAAAGATTCTACATGTAATCATTGAATTGACACAAATAATTGTATATATTTTTACAGTGAATTCGATTAACGTGAAGGCATAGCGTTGTCTGGTCTCGAAATATTTTTTTTCAATCACAAATAGCTTACAAGGTTGTGTTTGTTTTGGCTGCTGTAAAAAGTTAATTTTTTATTTTAAATTATTTTAATATATTAAAATTAAATTATTAAACCAACTCCTTTAAACGTCACTTTAATTGAGGTGTTTACAATCATTAAAATAAATAAAACATTATGCAACATCCACGTTAAAAAGAAAAAGATGCCTCGTCGTTAATTGCCTCGTGTTTCTTGAAACTATGGCATGAACTCTCCTTAATCACTCTAAAATCTTGTTTGTTTATGAAAAGTAGGTTTTTCAAAATAAATTTAAATTTTTTATATTTATTTTTATTAAAAAAATTGATTAATAAAAAATAAAAATATTTATTTTTAAGTCAAAAAAATTTAACTAGATTTTCATCAAAGTATTTTATTTTTATTTTAAGTGAAAACTATTTTTGTAAAAAAATTAGAAATATCAAGTTATTTGCTAATTATATCAAATTTAATTTTTAAAATTTTAATTATTATATATATTTTTTATCTCTTAGAATTTGATTTAATTTGGTTTTTTTATCAATTTTAGTTCTTTTTTTTTTCTCTTATCATTAATTAAAAAAATTTATCTATTAGATTCAATTTTTATTCTTTTGATTGTTATTTATTTTATTTGAAATAATTTATGAAATTATATTTTTCTAATTTCATCATTTTTCAACTTTTTTTATCTATTAGATTTTATCTCTATTATTTTGATTGTTATTTATTTTCTTTAAGATAATTTATAAAGTTAGATACTTTTTTTAAATTTATTCTTATTAAATTTTTTAATTTATAAGATTTTTTTTTATTATTTTAATAAATAACAAAAAAAAATATTAAAAAAAATAAATATATCATTTTTTTTTCAATATGGTTTTTGATTAAAAAATTAATTATAAATTAAAATGTGTATCCTAATTAAGATTAGGAATGCAAAGATGTCATGGAGACAATGGCTGCTTGCTGGTTGCTCATATAAGAAACTATCAACACAGTAGAAGTAAGAATGAGAGATTACTTAGGTTAAGTTTTTTTAGGGTTATTAAAGATTTATATAATTATTAATTTTAAAGACTTATATGATTGTTAATTTTAGAATTTATAAAATTAGTTAAAATATACAATCTAGATATTTAGGCTAATTAAAAAAAAAAAACCTTTGGAATCTTGCCACTTCTATTTTAGTGAGGTTGCTTCTGCTTTTGAAGCAAACCATGAAAAATAATAGTTTGGTAACAATTAAAATGTCATTTACTATTTATGGATATCATGGTAATTTGCATTTGAAACGTAAGGAAAGAAAAGTAGCTCTTTGTTGCTTTTTGCGTGGAGAAATCACATGAATAGTGTAGTCATGCTCCACTATTCATGTGAACAGTAACAAACATTCTTCACTGTTTCGATTGAATCGAGTCCGGTTTAAAATTAAAAATGCATTGAAGGGGGTCTAACCTAGTAAAATAAAAAATTATTTATTATTTTTAATTATGTTTTATTCAAAAATATTATTCAATGACATAACATAAATTAGACGAAAATCACTTGATGACGTAGCATTTGTAAAATTTGATCGCTATCCCAATTTTTTTTTTGATTATATTTTACCTGATGTTGTTGCGCACTTAAGAAACCAAAAAAATTATAGACCTTATTAGATGTATTTCATATATGATAAAGTTGTAAATAGTTTAATAGAACAATAAAAAATATTTTATATATAATATTATTTATTTTATAATGAAATAAAAATAGTTAAATCTACAATATTGAAATAAAAACCATCAATATTAA